GGGGGTGACGGGGACGGTGGGGGCAGGGGCGTGGCTGGGCCGAGCAGGCATCCCCCACAGAGCAGGGTCTCGCCACCGGAGGATCCAAGACTAGCCCGCGGTCCTTCACCTTCTTGAAGACTTCTCTGAGACTTTGGGATTGGGGACCGCAGACCTGGAGTCTGGGGAGCCCAAGGGCCGTGGGGCCAGTCAGAGCCCAAGAATGCTGCCAGTGCTGACCGGCAGTGGTGGCGCCTGGTCACGACGGCAGGTTTGATAAAGTACCGTGATGGCGCCCAGTGACAATGGCAGGGCTGACGGAGTGCCTGGCTCCCGTGACCTGGCCACTCGGAGGTCACCATCCCTGGGCCTCTTTTCCAGCATCAAATCGGGGCGAGTGCTTTGACCAGGGGCACCAGCCCGAGAGTCATAGGGAAGGACACAGGCCCAGGCCTCCTAACACGAGGTCCTGCCCCAGGCTTGTGGCCTGTGGACACCACTGAGACCCCTTCAGAGCCCTGGACCCTGGCTCTGACTGTGAGGACTTCCAACATTTTGTAGCTGGCGAGGCTCGTAGAACTGACGGCCGACAGGGTAACAGCGGGGGGGTCAGTGGTGCCGGCTGGAGCTGGGGCCCGGAGCTGCCTACACGTGGCCGGGTGCGCGTGGGGTGGCCTCCTAGGACCCTGTGCGAGGAGCCGTGGCTGAGCCCGTGGTTAGAGGCAGGCGGGGGTGAGGTAGGTGTGTCCAGTTTGGGGCAGGTGGTTGAGTGCTCGACCTCAGACCCACCCAGATTCAAATCTCACCTTTCAAATCTTGCTGAGCCTCAGCCCAACCATCTTTGAAATGGGCACAGGGACACCCCCTCCCCCAGGCTGTCCTGAGGATTGAATGGTGGCAGCTGCTGTTATGTGATTGTCGCTCCGCTGTGGATGCTGATGACGCTTCCTGTGTTGGGTGTGTGCCAGCGTTTGATGTGACCGAAGGCCTTTAGATCTGATCACAAGGACACCCCGATGTGGGTGAGCTTGACCCTGCCTCACAGTGGACAAAGTCGAGGCTCAGAGTGTGGGGTGGACGAGCATGCTTACAACAAAGATTTACTGTCACTGGCTGGGGGCCAGAGTCTGAAATCAAAGTGTCAGCAGGGCCACCTCCCTCCCCAGCTCCGGGGAGGCGCCTTCCTGCCTCTTCCAGCTCCTGGTGGCTCCCGGCAGTCCTGGGCCTATGACCACCTCACTGCAGTCTGTCCTCTGTGGTCATGTGGCCTCTCCCTGAGTCTGCGTGTCCCTCCTCTTGTTCTAAGGACACCAGTCACTGGGTTCATGGCCCAGCCTACTGCAGTGTGGCCTCATCTGCAAAGACCCGATTTCCAAATAAGGTCACCTGCTGAGGTTCCGGGTGGACATGGGTTTGGGGGGACACTGTTCACCCCAGTACAGGGGCCACCAGACAGGTGCTTCTTGGTGGAGTGGGCGAGGTCTGCATGGGCTCTCCAGTATTTGTCTAGCACGAGCCCAGTGAAAGCTCCGGCCAGACCCCCAAACCCCTTCAAGACTGGATTGGAGCCATCTCCTCCCCCATAGACCCCTATTCATTAGACACCACCTGTAGCCCAGGAGCCCCCTCATCTAATCCATCAACCTCCTCACGAGGCGATGTTCTCAGTCCCATTCTCCAGCGAGTAGACTGAGGCGTGGAGCGATCACCCAGCCCGCTGACCCCAGGGTCTGGGTTCCAGGGCCACATTCCCCCCAGGGGGGGGCTGGGCTGGGGCTGCAGGCCGGCAGTTCACCTGGGCTGTCCCCACAAGCTGAGCAAAGAGGCCCGGGGCTGGAGGAAGAAGGATCTCCACAGGGCAGCCCGGGGGTGACCCCGCCAGCTGCCCCTTGGGAGAGTCCGGGCGGCCACTTCTGCCCTTGGAGCCGGCCGCCCGCAGGCCGAGGGAGGCCATTTCAGGAACCGGGGGAGGGGAGGGAACACTTCCGTGGAGATGGCACCCACTTCCTCATCGCTGGATGTCACTGGGAACCCCGAGCTTACAGTTGTCACCGGCAGCCCCTTCGCAGGTGGGAAGTTCCCTGTGCCAGGCCCCTGTCCTCAGGCCCCTGTCCCCGAGTGCTCAGGGCAGGCTCACGGTGGCCCCTGGTGCACAAGCGATGGGCCGGTCCCACCCCTGGGGGAGGCCAGGACGGCAGGCACAGGCCCTGGATGTGCCCCGTGCCCGGCTGCGGGAGCAGCTGCTCCATCTCAAGGGGGACATCGGACATGGCTCCTCAAGGACCAGGTGACAGAGAGGGGAGGAGGGCAAGGAGGGGTGGGGAAGGCATCAGGAGGCAAGTGGTGAAGGGTCCGGACCCAAGCGCCCTGATAAGATACCTCCTGGGCCTCAGCAGGAAGAGCAGACAGGTGGCAGTCGGGCTCGAAGCCGTGGCTCCCTGGTCCCAACAATGCAGACGGAGGGGACGTATCTGATCCCCGTGTCTGTGGCTAAAGTTGGAGCTCTGCCCTGCATTCCTCAGCTCCCCCCTGGGCTCCACTGTCCCTGTCACCCTGTGCCTGTGTTCTCCCATGTCCTCCAAATGCTGACGAAGCCCCCAACCCCCGGAGCCGGGTCTGTCCGGCTGTAAGGGCTCTCTCACCCCTGACCCTGGAAGGATGAGGCCAGATGACCAGCTCCTGGGGGGGACCAGCTGGGGAAAGCCCCTGGGGGGGGGGAGTATCCTTTCTGCCTGGGCCTCTTTCACTTCCCTGCCCTCCGTCACCTGCTTCCTTCTCCCCCGGGACCGCCTGGGACATGGCCTATTTCCTGACAAACAGGACAAGTTCCGGGGACCCTGCCGTGTCCTGGCCTCTTCCGGGGGGAGAGAGGAGCCCTCTGAGCTGACTCAGGCTCCAGAGCTGATACAGCAGGACCATGACCTCGTGGGAAACCTGGCTCACTGAGGCCTGTGGGACATGGGACTAAACAGTCATCTCTCGGGGGACGAGCTGTCTCCGGGGCCCTCGTTTCAGCCCTTGCTGGCTGGCTGTGTGCTGAACTTACCCACAAAGCACGGTCCATATAAGCGACAAGGACAGTGGGCTCCCTCTTACCATTCGGTCCCTCACTCACATACCATCCAGGGTTCACAGCCACGTGCTGAGTGGGATCACGTGGCGGGCTCTGAGCTCTTTCCTTGGGGTCTAGATGACCCCCCGCCTGCAAGGACACCCACTGCCTGGCCAGGTGGGTTCTGACCAGACCACCACGCACACACTGGCACTTGGCTTCAACAGCCTGTCCCAGGGGGACTTGTGCTCATCGGGGAGGAAGTGACCAGTGAGCAGACCCCTGAAGGCTGAGCAGGGCCCACCCGGCATGGAGGGGCTGGGGGTGTCTCTCCTCTAGACCCCAACTCTGGCGGCAGCGTCCATGCTGGTCCTGGCGGCCTATCTTCCGGGAGAGGACGTCGCTGTGACCACCTCCCTCTCTTCTCTCCGCAGCTGCCAGCCAGGCATGCCGAGCCCGCGGCCCTGAGGCCACTGTCCATCATGAAGGACCCGATGGAGGTGGCCGCCGAAGAGCCCGCCTCAAAGGAGAGGGTGACGGCAGGGCCCTTGGGCGGCAGTGATGGTGACAAGGTCCAGAGAGTGGCTGGGAGCGCGTCGGTCGGCTGGACACGAGCAAGACCTGAGGAGGCCCAAGCTCCGGGCAGAGACGGTGAGTGTGAGGTCCACCTTCTTGTCCCAGCTGCCAGAGCCACAGCCCATGGCCACAGCGCCGTCTGCACCGTCACGTGTCTGTTGAAAGAGACTAACTGCGTCACCCCTGCGCAGACGAGACTGCAGAGGGGATGGGGTTAAGGATCTCCAGACGGCGAGATTACCCTGAGGTCGGCGTCAGAGAGAAATCAAAGGCTGGGCCAGGAGCCAAGGGATGCGGGCACCTCTAAAGCTGGAAAGGCCAGGGTCCGATCTCCCCCTGGAGCCTCAGAAGGAGGCTCTACTAACACCTTGACTTTAGCCATCAGGACCCTGTCACACTCCTGTGGGCTGAGCTTGGGCTGGTTTCTTACTCAGACACCTTCCGTCTGCCTCCCTGGCTTGTGACCCTGCAGGAGGGAGCTCGGTGCACTGCGGCTGGTAGGGCTGTGGAATCACCACTTTTGTTCCAGAAGTACCTGGGGGCGGGGGGGTCTGTGTCGATGGAAGTGGCCTGTTTTCACCTGAATCTCACATACCTGCTCTGTCACAGGTGCTGCTCCACCCCCGGGCATCTCAAAACGACGGGCCTCCAGGGCCCTTCCTGGCCAGAGGGGACCATATCCCACAGGTAGACATCCTTGGGCATTACACCACACAGCGGGGTTCATCCAGACTGTGGATGTGAATATGGGNTCACATACCTGCTCTGTTACAGGTGCTGCTCCATCCCCGGGCATCTCAAAACGACGGGCCTCCGGGGCCCTTCCTGGCCAGAGGGGACCATATCCCACAGGTAGACATCCTTGGGCATTACACCACACAGCGGGGTTCATCCAGACTGTGGATGTGAATATGGGATCCCTGCCCCAGTGATGTTCTCTCCGTGGGGGTGGGGGAAGGGGCTCATTAAATGCTGATGCCGAGGTTCTGCACCCTGGTTCTGATTTCATCAGCCTGGGGTAGGGCTCAGGACTCTGCATCCCACAGGGGCCAGAAGCTGGGTTCACCTGCATTTGCAAAGGGCTTCCCTGTACTTTGCATCTGCTCAGAGAGGGGGACATGGCCCTAAAGGCCACGTGCAAGGGAAGGGACTCTGGTGGGAGGGTGGAGTGGCAGGCGGGACATGGTAAGAACCAGACAAAAGGGGCCACTGTATTGTGGGAGGGGCAGAGGGAGGGGAGGAGCCCTCAGGGAGGTGTCCAAGGGCTGGTTCCAGGGAGGTGGCTCCAAGGAGGGGGGCTCTAAGGAGGGGCGCAGATTTCTGCAGGGTATGGATTGTGGGCAGCCCTGGGCGGGGGCAGGGGAATAGCANGGAGGGGGGCTCTGAGGAGGGGCGCAGATTTCTGCAGGGTATGGATTGTGGGCAGCCCTGGGCGGGGGCAGGGGAATAGCACCTGGGCTCCAGGTGGGGAGGCTTAAGAATCTACCCCTTACCCTGGAGACCCCACTCCTGACCCTGAGCTGTGCAGGACATAGAGACCCCATTGTTGTTGGTGTCTCACCTTTGCCTGTCCCCCCACTCTCCTCTCTGGTGGTCAGTACCCCTGTGGTCACCCGGTGGATCAGGACGACTTGAGCAACAGGGCAGATTATCTGGGACTTGAAAATCCAACCCCACCCTTTGCCGGGAGTGGGAGGGGTCACAGCTCAGAACCAGCCTGAAATGCTGGGCCAGCGTCCTGCTGGGCGTGGGGGGAGTGGGCCTGACCCAGTCTCCGGAACTCTCCAGAGTCTCTGCCACTGGCCTGACCTCCACAGGAGGGGGGCAGTTAGCTCCAGGGCCCTTTGCTAGAATGTTCTCAATCAGGTGCAAGGTCTGTTCAAAGGGTATGGGACTCTCTCTCCTTCCCTCTCTATCCCCCCCAGAAGCCCCTGCTCTGGGGGCTCCTGTGCTCTGGAGGCCTCCTTGGGGATGGGGGGGGTGGGGCATATGAGCTGAGATCTGCATCTTAGGGAGCCAGCCAGGCCTGCATCGCAGGGAGAGTCGGTGGGGCTCACGTGGATCCACGTGGCCTGTGATGGAGGGAGGCGGGAGTGGCCTGAGCAGGGCTGGGGATGGGAAAGAAAGGGAAGGAGCCGGGTCTGAGGTGGGGTGGAGGGGCCTGTGGGTTGTCTGCTGGAGGCCCGACGGCCCTGACTGGTGCTGAGGCGGTGGGAGAGGCGGGCTGGAGGTCTCAGTGACTCGGGGCCACGTGCCGAAACCTCGCTTGGCGCCGTCCTGTCCTGGAACTGGAGCAGGAGTCGGCTTCCTCCCATCACTCCAGGATGGATGTCACTCACTTACCACGAAATAAACTGGAGCTCAGGGGCACGGCAACCGTGCAGGTGTCCAAGGCAGTGCCTGACGTGGGCATTGACCCGGGTCCCCTGTGCATGGGCTGGGCTCCCAGGGGAGGCCGACTGCCTGACCTCGACCTGCTCCCTCCAGACCTGACCCTGCAGCTGCTGGCCGTGCGGAGGAAGAGCGGGCTGCCAGACCCCGGGCTGCAGCAAGCCCTGCGCGCCCGGCTCCGCCTGTTGGAGACCGACAGCTGGGAGGTGGCCCGCACTCTCGGGGTGAGTGGGCTCCTCCGGGGTCCTGGGGGACCTGGGTGAGCACAGGGGTAGGGGGCCCTGCTTAACAACAAGACAAGGGAGGACTGTGCAGAGGAGACCTGGTAGGCCTAGCAGGAGGGTCCCTGAAGTCCAGGCCTCCGAGGAGCCAAGGCCATGGGCAGGGGTGGCCGTCCTCTACCTCACCTGTGGTGGCACTGTGTCTTGTCCCCACCTGCTCTCCTGGCTGGCTGGCTCCAGGGATCACCCATCACTCCCACAGGCCAAGCCGTGCATGGGCCACCGTGTTCCCAGTGTCCCCCATTCCTTTCTCCCACGCCCTCCACCCCGCCAGGACTGTGAAAGTCTCTTTATGGGGTAAGAAGAGCTGTGTGAGCTGCTCTTAATCCCTGATTTTAGCGAGCCCGCCCCCTGGCCTCCGCAGGATGAACAGTCCAACAGGAGGCTGGTAGAGGAGGGGGCTGGGCCTGGGGACCCCCCCATGGTGCAGGGCTTGGGGCTTAGGGACAGATGGCCACCATCTGACCTTGCGGTCAGCCCAGCCTGGCCTCGCCCTGGCCGATGCCCCTTAGCCTCTGTGAGCCCGGCTTCCTGAGCTGCATGTGGGGTGATTAGAATTATTACCGAGGGAGCCGGCCTGAGGATCCCAAGAATAGCACCACGAAGCCCCCGCACGTGCTGGGCAGTGGGGCTGCCCCTTATGACCCAGGCAGCTGTGGTTAAGCACAGTGGCTCTGGGTTGAACCCCTGCTGTGCCACCTATTGAAGGTCAAGCAAAGGGGAGGACAATAGCCCCCCCCACACACACTCCCTGTGTGAGTGACCCCCCCCAGACTTCCTGAGGCCTGAGTGACCCAGGGTCCGCTGGGGTAACTTCAGTGCCCCGTCACCACCGCCAGGAGTGTTCGGGGTAGGAGTCAGAGGGGAGGGCATGCTGGAGTCGGAACTGAAAATGCTGCAGGTGGGCGGGGAGGAGAGGTCTGGCTGCACAGGGCTGAGCGCAGCCTCCTGAGCCCGCAGGACCCGGTGTCGCTGGTGAGGAGGGATGGAGGCAGTGGGGGA